TCAGTGTGTGTGCTCTGCTGCACCTTCAGTGTGTGTGCTCTGCTGCACCACTCCCAAGGGATGCACCAGGTTCTCCAAGAGCCTGGAACTGCAGCCCACAGCGACCCGACCCAACTGTGCCGTCACCACGGTGCCCCAGCAGCTGCTGAGACAGTCACAGGCATTTCCTGACTCTCAACACTGAGAGGAATTTGGGTTTGGATCAGTTTTGTAAAGATTCTACTTGATCTCACAGACATATCTGCCTGAAATGTTCAGTCCAAGTGTAGGACACAGAAATGCAGAAGTGCTGTAACGTTAAGTGTTGATGTCTATGAGCTGAAGATTGATCCTGCAGCACTAATGACAGCCTGGATTGTCCCATCTCATCCTGGGATCTTTGACAGGATGGATGAGGTTTGGTTTGAACAAACCTGCATGTCAGTAAATGGAGAACCAGGAGTTAAACTCGTGTTCCACAGTGTCTTTCAGAGGACACGACCCCAAGGGATCCAGGTTTAGGGGCAGTTCTCAGTGACACTGTTCAGACACGGAGCTGCCAATTCAATTTGTTCACACACTGGATTTCTGGCCAAGGATCAGCTGGAATTGGGGAGTAAATGGAAAGCCTCGAGATGCACAGATGCCACGAAGGAGAGCTCCTGAGGTGCAGGAAATGCTCTCTGAATTCTCTCCTCAATGAGTGTCACGGCTCCGGTTTGGCTCCGACCCCGGAGGCTGTTCCAGCACCCAGGCAGCTGATCCCTTATCTGCTCCAGGAACTGCCAACACCGAGGGAAGGGCAATGAGCAGAGCAGGAAGACCAGGGGCAGGTCCCAACTGGAGCACTCCCTGCTCAGGGATGTCCTAACAGGCAGTGCCATGCCTGGATCGCTGGCTGTGGCCTCGGGAGGCAAATCCAGTCCATGCCCAGCTCCACAGAACATCCAGAGACACCCACATTAGTCCCAAAAGATGCCTCATGTGCTCTGGAGACCTTCCCCAGCCCTCACTCAGTGGCCAAAGGCCTCAGGTGGCCTCCCCTGCCCCTCCCTGTGGGCTCCTCCAGCCTGGCCCTGTCCCAGCACGTCCAGGGTGCTGCTCCAGCCCCACGCAGGGATATTCTCCAGACATGGCTCTTCTCTCATCCCACTCCCTGCCCCGAGGAGGAGGCAGACAACTGCTCTGCCATGTGAGGACTGGTGGCACACACTGAGCTCTGACTCTGCCTTTGGCTGCTCTGAATTCCACAGGACTTTTCCAGTGACATTCCCGCGGTCGGGCAGGAGTGATGGAAATCACAACCCACTCCTTGATGTGACTTACACCTCACAACTTCACCTTCCCTGGCTGATCCCAAACCCAAGAACCACAACCCCTTCTCCCAGCTGGGAACTCTCCCCTGGGAGGGTGGGGAGGCCCTGGCACAGGTTGCCCAGAGAAGCTGTGGCTGCCCCTGGATCCCTGGAAGTGTCCAAGGCCAGGTTGGACGGGGCTTGGAGCACCCTGGGCTGGTGGGAGGTGTCCCTGCCCATGGCAGGGGGTGGGATGGGATGAGCTTTCGTGTCCCTTCCAACACAAACCATTCTGATTCCATGACTCCAGAAAACACTGCCTGTCACCACACTCAGGACAAACTCCTGCGAATCATCTCCACAGATCTCCCCTCACACCCCATTTCTTTTCTCTCCCCGTGAGTTCTGTACCCCCTTGCCAGCACCTTCCCCCCAAGTCATTCCCTCTCACTGGCTCCTATCACACAGGACAGCACTGGAAAAGCCTCACCAAACCCACCAAATGTTTGGGGTCTGTGATTCCTCCCTCCTGGGGGATCCAGCAGCCGTCAGGGGGAACAATTCTCCGTGGGTTTGACACAACTTGGCACTGGCAACACGGAGCTGCTACTCCCTGCTTGTCACATCCTACAACCACCTGGCTGGGTTAACTCCTCCAGTGCTTTTCCTGGCAACTGGAGCTCGGCTGATGGAAGAAAAAAAAAGCTGGGGAGGGAAAAAGCAAAGAACCCGGAGGAGTGTCTCCCTTTCTTTCTTTTTAAATAAATCCTCCAGCTGCCCTTTCCCCTCCTTAATGGATTCTCCATTCATTATTCAGAGATAACTCCTAATGGATGGGAGATTAGGGCTGAGGCAAACAGAGGAAGTGAGTTATGGCTCTCCCAGTGCCCGGCAGTGCTGGATCCACCCTGAGCAAACGGCAGGAGACAGTCGGAGCCCTCGGCCCTGTTTGCTGCCCGGGCTCCCCATCCCTTTGTTCAAACCTCAGGGAAGGGGGGAACACAGCTCTGGGCCTGCAATAAATGCTGGATGTGGGCACGGGCACAAACTCCAGGCTCACATAAAGGTGGGCAGGGATCACGGAGACAGCCAAGGAAAATGAAGCTGGGATGGTTGGGCTGCAAAGTGAGCACAAAGGAAGGTTTCCCCCCGTGGGACTGGGGAGAGGAGGGGCACGAGGAAAGGGAAAAAATCTATTTGAATTACTCTCGTGCCAACATTAAAATATGCATAGGCTGTATCATATTAGAGGTTTAACCCACAGAGAAAGGAATTTCTGGGCCAGCTTTCCGGCTGACCTGGCAGAGACTAAAGAAACCCTAAAGTGCACTCTGATTTATTGATGAGGGGTTTGCACGGCTGCAGCACAAGATCAGATCTGGTGATCTGTGAACACCCTCCCAGCTCGTGCTGCTCAAAATGAAGGCCTCCCACATATCAAACCAAGCAATTCCTGGCAAAATGATGCCGAGAATTTCACTACTGTCCCACTGTTTCTTCCTGTTGTGTTTGCCAAAGTGTGCAGCACAACACTGCAGTGGAGACCTGTCCTGCTGACCCAGAGCTCTGGGAGCTGCAGGGACCAGGCTGAGGACTTTCCCCCCCAAAGGAAAAGTGCCCCTGTGCAGCCCATGGCTTGGACAGTGTGTTCCTGGTTGGGATAATCCTGGTCCCAGGGAAAGGTGGGGAATGCAGTCCCATCCAGCTAGGAATGGGCTCCAGTGGGTCACACAGGGATCAGAGCTGGGACCAGCCCTGTTTAACACCGTCATTGATGAGCTGGACGAGGGGATCGAGGGCACCTCAGTCAGGTCGTGGATGACACCAGGGTGGGTGGGGTGGGCAGGAAGGGCCTGCAGAGGGGTCTGGCCAGGCTGGATCCATGGGAACCCTCCCACAGGAGACACAGGGAGGGGCTGGAGCGTGGGCAGGGAAGGGAAGG